CTGGAGGTGGCGGTTGCAGTAAGCCAAGATCACGCCACTGCACTCCAGCCTGGGTGACAGAGAGAGACTCTGCCTCCAAAAAAAAAAAAGTTTCTCTATTAGTTTTTAAAGATTGCAGATGTCCGTGGAATCTTAAGGGTTATTACCACAGTAGAAATGGGAATCTAGTTTTTAAAAAAAGATACAGTTGAATATAAAATTTTTCTTTCTGTTTCCATCTGCCTGTGCCTCCTTCCTGCACTCCTTCCCTCCATTCCTCCCTGATTATAGTGTATGTAATATTACTGCCTAGCTATTGGACAACAAAATTAACTTATAGGTCAAGCACAGTGGCTCATGCCTATAATCCTAGCCCTTGGGGAGGCTGAGGATGGAGGAGTGCTTGAAGCCAGGAGTTTGAGACCAGCCTGGGCAACAAAGTGAGATCCTGTCCCTATAAAAAACCAAACCAAACCAAACCCCAGAAAACAAAATTAGCTGGGAATGGTGGCATACTGTGGCCCTAGCTACTTGGGAGGCTGAGGTGAGAAGATCACTTGAGCCCAGGAGTTTGAGGCTGCAGTGAGCTATGATTGCACCACTGCCCTTCAACCTAGGTGACAGAGTGAGACTCCATCTAATACATACATACATACATACATATGTACATAATCAACTTCCAGATTTCTAATTCTTTGATGTTCTCTTCAGATGTCAGGATTTTTACCTATATACTCTTTCACAGAAATGTTTTTATATTCATAAATGTGAATAAAGAATTCAAGAGGACTTGAATACTGAAAGGTAGTAAAAATAACTTAGGGACTTGAAAAGGCATTTACAGTTGGGCTGAATATATAAAGCTAAAATGTCTTTATGTTGGAGAAGTAAAAGTAAAAACGGTTCTGGTTGGGTGTGGTGGCTCACGCCTGTAATCTCACCACTTTGGGAGGCTAAGGTGGGAGGATAGCTTGAGCCCAGGAGTTTGAGACCAGCCTGGGCAACACAGTGAGATCCCTTCTCTACAAAAAAATTTAAAAATTAGCTGGGCATGGTGATGCACACCTGTCCCAGCTACTTGGGTGTCTGAAGTGAGAGGATTGCTTGAGCTTGAGAGGTAGAGGCTGCCATGAGCCATGATCTGCCACTGCCCACCTGCCAGGGTAACACAGTGACTCCTTGTCTCAAAAGGTGAGAACAAGAAAACCCTAACTCTTTGACAAAAGTAAGTTCACCGTTGTTAGCATTGTGTGGGATTTAAATTTAGACATAAATAATTTTAATAGATTGAATGCAAAGCTACCCTTATGGAAAAAGTATAACTATGATTAAAATTGTATCCATGCAAAACTATGTGTGGTTTTTTGTTTTGTTTTGTTTTTTAGTTATTCCATTCTCTTTCTTGGTTCAGTGAGTAGCACAAGTAAAAGTAGCATGGTTTACTGGAATTAAAGAATTTCAGGTTTTTAGTGCTTGAATTTCTTTTAAATAACTGAACATCTATGGTGATTGGGTGCTATCCTACCATTTTTCATTTTGACTGAGTCAACGTTTTTCTTCATATTGTGTCTTTATCATAAATTTGCTCCTGGTTTGACCCTTGGTGCTCTATAAAACGAGTCTATTTCTTTTCATGCATATTTGTTAAAGAGGGAAATGATATTGTAGTGGAGGTTTTCATTTCTTGGCTAAATATTCTCAGAGTCTTTCCTCACATTGCAGCTGTACCATAAATAGCTGGTCCGATCTTGGCAAGTTACTAAATCTGTGCTTGGTTTCCTTATCTTTAAAATAAGAATATTGGTACGTGGCTCAAATTTATTGTGAGGATTGAGTTATTACATTTAAAATACAACATTTTGTCTGGCATGTAGTACACATTCAGTAAATGTTAGACACTACAGTTGACCCTTGAACAAAATAGGGGTTGGGAATAGACCTCCTGCATAGCTGAAAATCCACATATAACTTTTGACTCCCCTAAAACCTTCTAATAGCCTACTGTTGACCCAGAAGCTTTACCATATAACATAAACAGTTGATTAACACAGATGTTGCCTATTACATGTATTTTATACTGTATTCTTGCAACAAAGTAAGCTAGAAAATAGAAAATGTTAGTAAGAAAATCATAATGAAGAGAAAATATATTTACTGTTCATTAAGTGAAAGTGGACCAACCTAAAAGTCTTCACCCTCTTTGTCCTCACAATGAGTAGGCTTGAGGGAGTTCAAACTGTGTTGTGTTGTTCAAGGAACAGCTGTATTGTTATTTCATCTTACATTGTTTCTCATCCATCTCCTCTATTCATGAACCTGTTTGTCTTTCTCAAAGCATAGCTGAATGCAGTGGCAGCTGTGATCTGATCAGCCTAGAAGGAGTAGTACAGTCATTTCTTCCCCCATTAATATGGGTCAAAGTTGGAATTAATTTTTAAACATTCATTGTGGAGAATTTGAAACATACAAAAAAGTAGACAGGCTAGTATGATGGACCCTCATGTACCCATCCATCATCCCCAGCAACACAACCAATCCAGCCCTATTTGTACTTCATTCAGTTCCTCCATGATATAATTGTAGCTCCTCTATTATACCTAGACTTCATGCCTGATTTATCTTGATAATTCCTAAAGCTTTTAGGATAGTGCCTTGTTTTCTTAGTAGATAATTGTTGAATTAATGAAAAATGAATCTCACCTTGGGTTCATGCCTGGATCAGCTTCTATAGTTTCTATAGTTTGCTTGCGTAGGTGGATGAGCAGGATTGAAAATAGATTCATCTGTATTTACTAGATGTCATTCCAGTTTTATTTAAATAATTTCTTCCATATCTGCTCACCGATATATATATATGGGAATGTTACTGGTGCAGTCTCTGAGTATGCTAGGAAATAATTCCAATTATCTGGGATAAAAGACTTGAATTTACTGTTTTCTTAGAGTCTTTATTATTTTGAGCTTGAAGACTTTACCAGTGTTTATCATAGGACTTCCGGTCTAACAATCATTTTGTCTTAACTGGATGGAAGCAGAACTGAAGAACTATACTTTATTTGCCGTCTTTGTTGGAATTATTTTTTAAGTCAGATTTGTTATGGAATAATTTATATACTGTAAAATTGTTGTAATTTGTTGGCTTCAAATTAGAGATCTTTCTTCCCAGTGTCCGTTTGCTCCAAACACAATAAAAAGACAGCTGCCATTGTAACTGACTGTAGCACTTTTTTCCAGCTTGTTTTTTTATAACTCTATTTTTACTTGTGCCTTCTTAGTTGTTACTGTGCCTATAGCATTTACTGAAGTTTTAATAAATTCATGGTTGTTTTTAAAGTGATACTGAAGTGTGTTACTCCTGCTTAAAACAGGGATAGAGACAATATAATAAGCCTTTGGTTGTGTTCAGCTAGTGGGATAGGAATTCTGAAGGTGAAGTATGACAGTTAAGAGTTATATAGAGAGGATAGCTTCTAGCACTCAGATCACTACCATCACCCTAAAATTGAGTCTCTGTGAGCCTGCTTAGTAGAAACAGCCAGCTGAGACAGGATTTGTACACTCCATACACTTCAAAGCAAAAGGAGGCTTAGTGAAAATGAGTTTAGACTTACCCTCTAATTTATCCAATAGTGACTTAGTACAGCCCTGCTTTTCCCACTCATAGTTCTAGTTTTAAATGAAATATCTTTAGCTGGAGAGGAGTCTTACCTTTCAGTGTTAGCAGTTTTACCTTAAATATTAAAAATATCTTCGAGGAGTAGTTGACAAGGACTTGAAAACAAGAATAAGATTTGTGTTACAGAGGAGGCTGAGAAAAGTGTTCTGATAGAGAACATCATGTGACCATGACACCATGGCCTGTGAACCTCAAAATTGCAGTATTTCACCTTTGATACTTCTGCTAGTTTGCTTACTTCTGAACTTAAAAGATTCAGAGAATATCTATTCACTTATTCATTCAGAAAATATTTATTGAGTATCTGTATGCTGGGGGGTGTGTTGCCCACTGGCTAAACAAAACAATGAACAAAACAGATGAACTTGCCATTATATAGTTTATGGTCTAGTAGGAAACAAAATGAAAGTTATTCGAAGCCATAAAGAAAAATTGTGCTTTGCTTATATTTCAAGGACTTCACCACTTATTTTTAAGTGAACTTGGAGTGACTTTTTTTTTAGTTGTTTTGCAAAATGTATTTGAGCATTCAGAGCTTTGAGTTTAACGTGTTTTTCTATGTGTATTGATAATGTGAAATTAAACAGAGAGGCAGGACAATTTAAACAGGGAGAATATTAATTAGAATAGATGTACTATAGTGAGATTTCAGGATAATGACATGTAATATATGTGTGGGTAAAACTATGTGTTAGCTGTGCCAAATGGACCTTTGCAAACAGGAAAGTAAAAATATCTTTATGGCCTTTCTTCTCTTTAAATGATTAATACTTAAGAATTGAACATTTGTCTTTATCTTTCATGCAGAAGAAAAACCAGATTTGTTGATGGAAAAGTAAATCTTTAGGAGGGAGGGTATAATAGAGCAAATGGAAACCATGAGACTAAGGTCACATTGGAATTATGTGACTGTGTCATGTGTCTCTGGGCGAGAAAACATGCCTCAAATTCCTTTTTCCAACATAGTACAACAAAGTGGCTGAATTTAGTGATCCCTCCTAATGTTAAGATTTTATCATTGTAATTTTTTTTTATCTAGCAGTTTCTTAATGACTTAGATTGTTGGAAAGTCAAAATGCTTTTTTTGTTGTTGTACTTGTTCAGGTTCAAGAATTAAAAACTTAAGATGGGGGAAGAAGGCTTGGCTTTCTCTAACTGTTATTTTCTGTAGGTACTTCGTAACTCAGGAAGACCTCATTTATTCCCAGTAATATGTTTTACTAAACTCTTTCAGGTAACTCTTAAAAGACTGTGTGACTTAATAGTAGATCATGGCTTGAACTCAGTTTTTATTTCTTGTTGTTACTAGAAATTTTTTGTGAGATATTTTTCTTTGTCTCTGTAGTTATCAGAGACTATTACAGACGATTGCTGTACTCGAGGCTCAGCGTTCTCAAGCAGTCCAAGACCTTGAAAGTTTAGGCAGACACCAGAGAGAAGCACTAAAAAATCCCATTGGATTTGTGGAAAAACTCCAGAAGAAGGTATACATTGAACACTTTTTAAGATTTACTAAAATCTGTGCGGGAATAGCTTAAGAGAATTTGGTTTATTCTTTTTTATGGGTATATGTTTTTTAAAATGTTTAAGTTTTTTCTTCTATAATTAGCCACACAGCTTAAGGGAAGATACCAACTTCTTCCACCTCCACCAGGCATGCAGTAAAATATATCCAAATGAAAATAGCTGGAAGCTTTTATTGGATGTTTGTATGGGAACTTGTACAATTCCTTAGCCATATTTTTCTAGCTTTTCCTGTTACTTTCCCCTTCTTTGAGTATTTTTCCTCCTGTGTTTCAGGACTTCAGGATTAGTAAGCTAAAAGAAAAAAATACTTCAGAATTAACTACTTTTGTTCCATTTGCACACTAGTACTTTTGTACATATTGAGAGAAAAAGCAATAGTGATAAAAACAACATCAATTTTAAATGTCTTTAGAGTTACGATAGCCAAGTCTATGAGGAAGAAATATAAATTTTGCTTAATTTAAAAATGCCATTTTTAAATGTGAAAATTTTCCATAATTTTGTTTTTCTTAAAAGTTTCATGTTTAACATTTAACTACTGAAAAGCGATACAGGTTTTTATAGTGAGTTTCTTGGTGCGTAAATATGGAGATGATCTTGATGTGCATTTGTGCTGTAATAGGGACCCACTAATTGTTCATTAGATTTGAGGCATGTGTTATTAATCAGCATTCTGTGAAAAGATTAAAACTGAAAAATGATGAAAAAGAATCCTCTTCTTAAAAAAGAAGTTATCTTGTATAACAACTCTAGTATCTTTGTGAGTTACCTGTTTTTAGTGAGTTACAAAAGTAGTCTATCAGGTGTTAGGAGAGCAGTTCTTGGGACTTTATTTTACTAGATGTGTTAACTTATTATTTGAATTTTTCTAGCTATATTATTTAGTTGGTAAACATGTCTCTCTTCATGCATTTAGAAAACATTGAATATTATAATAGATGTAGAGTCTATATGTTGATTTGTTAAAACTTCTAAGGTTTTTAGAATTTTGGTATACCTCCTGTGTTAAAATGAGGCCCCTTTAAGTGTTTATTGATTCTGCATTGCTGTTACTAAATAATTTGCTGGTACAAAAGATATAAGACTTATAATGGTTATTTACAGTCAATTCAACTAAAGCAGATGGTGTTAGTAAAGTAAATACTAATGAAAAATTTATTAACCTTAATCTCATTTCATTTACTTTCCCGAGTAGGCAAAAAGATGCAGTTAGGCATATTTACTGGATTTGTATGCAGTTGATTATTTGCTGATTCTTCATTTTCAGGTTTAGTCTAGAACGGACTTTCTTTTCCTTTTTTTTTTTTTTCTTTTTCTTTTTGTTTTTGAGATGGAGTCTCACTCAGTGACCCAAGCTGGAGTGCAGTGGTCTGATCTTTGCTCACTGCAACCTCTGCCCCCTGTGTTCAAGCGATTCTTCTGCCTCAGCCTCCTGAGTATCTGGGACTGCAAGTGCACTGCACCATGCCTGGCTGATTTTTGTGTTTTTAGTAGAGACGAGGTTTCACCATGTTGGCCAGGTTGGTCTGGAACTTGTGACTTCAGGTGATCTGCACGCCTCAGACTACCAAAGTGCCGAGATTACAGGCGTGAGCCACTGTGCCTGGCCTAGAATGGAATTTCTTTTCACTTTATTTCAGAAATAAAGATGTAATGTTGACCATCTTTAGAGCTTTTTACAAAAATACACAAATATATTAAAGCCACATAATTTATTAACCATGAAGTTATCAGTGTCTGGGAATATTTTTTAAAGAAAAAAATTACCATGAAAGTCCTGTGTTCTTTGGAAAATATTTTTTCTACTAGATTTAATTTAAAAGGTTGATTCTTCTATTTTTCTGTGTTTGCTCATGCAAACTCAGCTTGCCTATTTTATTTAGGTTTGTCATATTAGTTATGTTGTTGACATGTAATATGTTTGTTTTAGTGGACATATAAAAAATTCCTCCTAGTTCACATTAATGAAACTGGTGATATATCTTGGTATTTGGAATGCAGAGAACAATTATGGCTCATTAGTTTTATTTAATATTACTATCATTATTTTAAAAGACACTTCCCTCCATCTAGAAGCAGTACTTATATTTTGCCAAATTCATTTCTTCTTCACTTACTGTTTTTAGCATTTAATATTTAGACTGTATTAATTAACTTTGTTGTCTATTGGATTTAAATATGAATAGAAATACTCCATTGATTATTTGGATTTGGAGTCATCTGGAAATTTGACTGTGGTCGATTATTTCTTCAATTAAATTTAGACTTTTACTTTATTTTATCTCCTCTGTCCCCAGGCTGACATAGGACTTCCATATCCACAGAGAGTTGTTCAATTGCCCGAGATTGTATGGGACCAATATACCCATAGCCTTGGGAACTTTGAAAGAGAATTTAAAAATCGTAAAAGACATACTAGAAGAGTTAAGCTAGTTTTTGATAAAGGTAAGAAATCATATGATAAGAATTTAAGTAGAGAAATATCTGGCAGTGTTTTGCTTTAACGGTTCTGTATGTGGTCTTATTTTTCAGTAGGTTTACCCGCTAGACCAAAAAGTCCTTTAGATCCTAAGAAGGATGGAGAGTCCCTTTCATATTCTATGTTGCCTTTGAGTGATGGTCCAGAAGGCTCAAGCAGTCGTCCTCAGGTAAGCAGTATGAAATATTAGAGTAGGAAAATTTGAATTTTAGGCAAACATTTTAACATTTTGCTGGTTTGTATTCTTAGAATTAAAAAGTCTTTCACTGGAAGATAAAGGGGACATGAACTTTGAAATTAAGAGAAACTTAAGGTTGGCATCTTAAGTTACTAGCTGTGAACCTTCAGACATCATTTGTGTTGAAGTCTCTAAGCTGCAGTTTCCTCTTTTATAAAATGTATGTTGTAGGGTTGTTGTGAGGGTTCAGTAGGTAGTACATGCAATGTGCCTAGTACAGTATCCAACACATAGTATTTACTCTAAACATAGTAGCTCCTTTGTGTATAGTGACATGTGAACAGGATTTGAGTCCTGGCCTTGCCACTCTTAGTTAGATGAACCTCAGTAGACATGTTACTTTTCAATTCTGAACCCACATTTCCTTTTCCTTTAAAAAAAAAAAAGTGAAATTGCAGTACTATCATGTATTCCACAGGATTGCTGAAGGTATGAAACCAAATGAAATAAAATAATGTGAAGACATTTTGTAAATAGTAAACAAACAAACAAACAAACATATACATTAAAAAAATAAATATACTCAAATATTTTAAAGTTAATTTAAAAATCTCACAGTTTGTGTGTTATTTGGCTATATCAAAGGATAGACTTTGTTATTTTCTCTCTGATAAAAGCCTTGTCTTATGTGCAGATGATAAGAGGACGCCTGTGTGATGATACCAAACCTGAAACATTTAACCAATTGTGGACTGTTGAAGAACAGGTAGTAGATATTTCAAAATCATGTAGGCTTAAAAAAAAAGTAAACAGTTAACATTAGAGTCAGTATTATGAGGCCGGGTGCAGTGGCTCACACCTGTAATCTCAGCACTTTGGGAAGCTGATGTGGGCAGATCACTTGAAGTCAAGAGTTCAAGACCAAGCTGGCCAACATGGTGAAACCCGTCTCTGCTAAAAATACAAAAATTAGCCAGGGGTGGTGGTATGTACCTGTATGATCCCAGCTACTCAGGAGGCTGAGGCAGGAGAATTGCTTGAACCTAGGAGGTAGAGGTTGCATTGAGCCAGGATCATGCCACTGCATTCCAACCAGGGCAACAGAGTGAGACTCCATCTCACAATGAAGAGTCCATATTATGAATTAGGTGTATGTTGTTGTATGTGATCCCTCTTAACCATGAGTTTTAAATATTTAGGCCTATTTTTGTATACCCCTTTGTGTACTTCAAGAATTTTGGATTTTGAGAATGTGTAAACTATTGTTTGGGGATAATTTTAAAAGAAGGAACCTGGGTTTTCAGAAGGCAGTAGAAATGGATGGAATAAAATAGATGTTTTGTAATGTAGCTTTGGGAGAGAGAAAAACCTGGGGCCAGTAAAGCTGAGCTTTAAGTGCATTCTTATTTTTGTTGTCGAGGAGAGAGGAGGAAGCCAAGTCAGTTCTGGCATACAGCTAGCATTGTCTTTTGGCTAATGGCAAGGGTTGTTTGTGGGTGAAGTTTGAGGCACATCTCGGTCTCATATGGGTATTAACCCCACAGCTATACATTTAGCAGTTTATAAAAAGCTTTGAGATATCTTTATTTATTTAAAGCATCCAGATTTTTCTGCATCTTTAGGACTATGAGAAGATAAGGAGACAGGAAAGAATATTAAAATCAAATATTTGAATTTGGGAAAAGAAGGAAAAGCCTCTTTTAATAGTCCAAATTTAATTGAATTTACACGTTTTTGTCAAAACTGTACGGGAAAGCCTGACGTATTCTAGTAAGAAAATATGGTCAGTGGAAATCACTAAAATGTGTAATCTACCAATTTGTTTACTTATTTTTTTTTCCTTGTGTAGTCTTTTTACTTATGTGAATAGAAAACTTTTGTAAGCTCCTTCATAAGTTTATTCTCTAATTTCATTGTTCCCTGTGAAGTCTTAAGTTTCTAACTGGAAATTTTTCCTACCGCAAGCATTTCTAATAATGTATCCCCCAAAGGTGGGATTATTACACTTTGAAATGGAATGTGAATGTATTTATTTAGAAAGTCAATATTTAAAGTTAAATACATATTTTCTTAAATTTGGTCTTGGGTATGGCTTAGAAAAAGCTTGAACAGCTGCTCATCAAATACCCTCCTGAAGAAGTAGAATCTCGACGCTGGCAGAAGATAGCAGATGAACTGGGCAACAGGACAGCAAAACAGGTAATTGAGGAGATGACTGCAGATTGCTGGCATGCTTTTGGTAGTTTTTTAATAAAGGAGAATAATGCAGCTGACATCGGGCAATCTGCCATAACACTGTGAGCTACAGAGTGCTGCAGTGTGTTTTTTAATTGTATGTATATTTGTTGATTTCAGAAACAATTTGAGATGTTTCTGCTTTGGATCATTAAAAAATATTTAAAAATGAACATATAATGAACTCAGTTTCTCTTGAATGCTTACTAAGCATCCTAATTGTATACTTTTTGGTTATACTGTGCAAACAGATTTGTTTCATTGCCTTAGTATTCTCTGGTTGTCTTTCTAAAAATGTATCTTGCAGTTTACTCCTTCATATTCCCATCTATATTAATAGATGTGTTTTTATACTACAAACATAAGTGTTCACAAGTTGAAATACGTGTTTAGCTTTGGAATCAACCAAATTTAAATTTACTTGAATAATTTTTCTTTTGCCCCAATTTAAAAATATATGTGTATTTGGTGGCAGTTTATTGTTATTTCTAGATTCATGATGAGCATTGAATTGTTAGGATTCATTAGATACGCATGTACATTTTAATTTTTAAAAACAACTCAGGTATTGTATGTCATCTCATTGTGTTAAGAGACTTGTCGTGTTTCCTTAGGTTGCCAGCCGAGTACAGAAGTATTTCATAAAGCTAACTAAAGCTGGTATTCCAGTACCAGGCAGAACACCAAACTTATATATATACTCCAAAAAGGTAAAAAGAAAAGAAAGTAAATTGTAGATTAAATTTATTAAAGTAAGAATTGCTATGTAAAAATGTACACATTTGACAGAATAGCATTGTTTTATTTTAAAACCTCTGTTGTTTCTAAGCATTTCCTTATAGTGTGCATAAATGCAGGATGTGGACTCCATTGTTGCTGCTCAGTGAAATTCTTTGAGCTTTAATGATTCTTCTTTTTTTTTTTTTTTGGCAGTAATATGAATGAGTGCTACCTGAAAGATTTTAGATTCAGAATATGTTAGAAAGGCCTTTGTGAGGGTAAAGTTTTTAGGATATTTGATTATTTAATAAGTACAATCAATTTCTGTCTTGTAGATAATGCTACCTAAATCCAAGAATAGAAAGGGTTATTATGATATTCTAAAGCCAGTCATAGTGGTGTGCACCTGCTGTCCCAGCTACTCAGGAGGCTGAGGGAGAAGAAGTACTTGAGGCCAGGAGTTCAAGTCCAACTTGGGCAACATAGTGAGATCCCATGTCTTTAAAAAAGTAAAATATTTTATTTAATGCTTACTACAATTCTTGAAGTATAAATAGTCTTATCTTCACTTTGCTCATAATAATATTAACAGCTAACTGTTTTCCTTACTGTTGAGGGCCCTGGGCCAGGCTCTACTATTCTATAACCTTTCATTAGATAAGGAAACTGGGCCCTCAGGTATGTTGAGTAAATTATCTAGTCACTTAGCTGTTAAGTCTGGGAACCACTGATTCTCTGATTCTGATGCCAAGCTTTTCCCACGATTCTCTGTTGCTTTCTATGGTGGAGAAGCTACTGTTCCTTTCCCAAACAGAAGACTGCATTAATATGTAGCTAGTTTCTTATACTTGTAAAAAATATATATATATATATATAATTGGCTGTTTTTCATTTTCTTAATAAGTTATCCTGGTATTTTCCCCTCCCCACCACTGCCGTCTTTCTCATAAAGAGAAGCTAAGAGTATATCTATTGCTGTTACCCTACCATATTGAATCCATTTAATATAATTTTACATTAAGTATATTGTCTATACAGTTTCATGCTTTACATATTAAAAAACATTTTTTTTAAACCAAGGTTTGGAAGCTTGTTTTAATTTGCCAGTTGTTTTAAATATTTTAGATTTCCCACCAAATATAGGATAACTTGTGTTAGATATGTAGAGTTCATCCTATAACTTTGGGATATTGGAACCTTACATTAACCAGTATTCTACATAAGAGGTCTAATTTTCATGATTAATTTCTAAGCTAACTTTATAGATGTGTTGTAACCATATGTTGTCATAGTTAACACTGGATAATGATAACAAAAGGAATACTGGAGAAACTACATGTGTTTTTTTTCCCTTGGGCATACTGTATTTTGACTGTGAAGATCTAGTACAGCTATAGTTATAATGATTGTTTGCCAATATAGTTAAATTTGGGAACAGGCGAAATGATGGTTCTCCATGTAGCTGAGGGTATTCTTTGTGACTGTGCTATTGATCAAGACAGGCAGGCTACATAGTGGTGGAGAGTAAGAATTTGGGCACCACACAGGCCTAGTTTGTAATCCTGGTTTTACCACTATCTAGCTGCAATACACTGGACAAGAAACTTAACCTCCCTGTCTTCAGTGTCCTCATCTTTAAATTAGAGGTGATGATAACTACTTTATAGGAATGTTGTAAGGATTAAATGATACTGGCATAGAGCAAGCTTGTCCAACCCATGGCCCACAGACCACGTGTGGCCCAGGACAGCTTTGAATGTGGCCCAACACAAATTGGTAAACTTTCTTAAAACATTACAATTTTTTTTTTTTTTTTTTTTAGTTTAGTGTATTTTATGTGTGGCCCAAGACAATTCTTCCAGTGTAGCCCAGGGAAGCCAAAAGGTTGGACATTCCTGGCATAAAGTAAGCAGTCAGTCAGTGTTAGATAAGTATTTTCAGATATTGATAATGTTATAGAAATTTTTCTTTTACTGGATAGTTTTATGTCTGGCATAGGCCACTTTATCCTCTCTGATCTTTTATAAGATGATCATAAGAGTTCAGTGCAGCCAGCATTTGACTGCCAAGAGTGGTGAATGCTGGGGATACAAATATAATATAGATATTGAGCATGTGGTCCATTTTACTGTTGTTGGGGTACTTCCCCTACATTTTTTTCTTTTTCTTAAGGCTAGTTGTGCTTTAAAAACCCAGAAAACATAGAAAAAGCAATAACATAAAAGTGTGCTAAAGGATAGAGGTAAAATTCTTCTGATAGACTTGTTGGAAGTAAATTTGTATTTTTATATTTTCAATTCTTATAATGATTTTTCACTGTCCCAATTAAAAATTTGTTTTCTTACTTAGTCTTCAACAAGCAGACGACAGCACCCTCTTAATAAGCATCTCTTTAAGCCTTCCACGTTCATGACTTCACATGAACCACCAGTGTATATGGATGAAGATGATGATCGATCTTGTTTTCAGAGCCACATGAACACTGCTGTTGAAGAGGCATCAGTAAGTTATCTATTTAGTTATTATACACATCAAGGTATAGAAGGAGAGTAGGATTTTCTAATTATTTTCACTCTTCAGAGAATGTTGGTTTCTTCTCTTTTAATGAACAAGTCCAATGTATAGTTTTTAAGTAATGTGCTTTATTGAAGAAAATTTCAAACATATACACAAGTAAATTCGTATAATGAACCTTAACAATTATCAACGTGTGGCTACCTTCTTTTAATCTCTACTCCCTCCCTACCCACCTCACCTCTGCTCTGGATTATTTTGGAGCAAGTCCCAGATATTATACAATATAATTATCATGTTTATAAAAAGATAATTTGTTATACAGTGAAATATATAGTCACTGTTTATTATTTTTTTTTCTAATTTGTTCATTTGGGTTTGGATCCTCATAAAGCCTATAAATCACAGTAGGTTCATTCTCCCTCTTTTACTTTCCTTTTTTCCCTCTCACAATGTTTTTGTTGAAGAACTGATTCATTTGTCCTGTAGAATTTTCCAGTATGGATCTTATTGATTACATCTCCTTGATGTCATTTAACCTGTTCCTCTGTTTTCTGAATTTCCCATAAAGTCATATTAGGTCGAGAGCATTGGTCAGATTCAGATGTATTTGTTTTTTAGGGTGGGCAGGACTACTTCACGTGTACTTTTATCAGCCTGGTTGTCTCTTTTTTTGCTGTAAAAGCCACTGATCATTGCCTTGATCTATTAATTCTTTAGATGTTACAAAATAAGGCCGGGCGCGGTGGCTCAAGCCTGTAATCCCAGCACTTTGGGAGGCCGAGGCGGGTGGATCACGAGGTCAAGAGATCGAGACCATCCTGGTCAACATGGTGAAACCCCGTCTCTAC